GGTAGAATCAGCATTTTAATTTTAGTAATTTTTTTAAAAATTTTCAACTGTCCGGTGATTTTTGATCACCCACTGTAATTACAAATGATTTTATTGATGAATAAAATTAGCCCAAATTTGGGTTTTATTTTTATTGCGATTATTACTTAAATACAAAGTTCATCAGATGCTTCATTCTTTCAAGAATTTATATAATTTCCACTTAATAAATATTTAACCAACGAATATTATAAATAGCATATTAATTTAAAGGTTGATTTGTTTTGGTTTCACTTTTGTTGACGCATTAAAACCATCTGTTGAACTTCGTATAAGTCGATTCTAAAAATAGCATTCATCAATGCTGGAGGAGGAGGAGGCAGTGGTGCGTATCCAATTGCAGGAATTACAGGATCGTAAAATACGTCGCTAACGGGGATCGCGATTATATAGTTAGGATCGTTCGGGCCATTACAACCAGAAGCGCCAGTAGGGGTTCCATCTTTATTCACGGTGCCAAATCTCCACTGTCATAAAAAATTTGACTTTTGAGCATCACAAGTAGTAAAGTAGAAAAAAATTTCTCAACAGTAAAACTTACTGTTTGCTTTTGAACTCCTTGTCGCCAAAGTGTGGCCTAATATTTAAAAGTTAAATACGTCCATAAAATTATATAAAAATAAACAATAAGACGAACCTTTATTGATCGGTCTCTTGCTCCTTGTGGGTTATTGCGTGAGTCACATATTTGGTAGATTTTGATGCCGAGTATAGATCGCACGTAAGATTGTCGTTTCCATCGCCTGCATTTGTCTTTTAAGTCAGAGGAAGTTTGGGATACAGCTACTTCGCAAATAATTCTTGCATGAGGGTTTCCCTATATCAACCGCATTAGTATCAAATTTTTCTATAAGCTATAAATTATATATTTCAAATTAAAAGTACCCTTATATCACTAGGTGGTGGTCCAGGATGTGGGACAGGAGGTGCTGGAACGAAGTTTGGATGTGGATAGACAGCAAGATCTGGAGAAATTCTACCTCCATCTCTAGCTGGTGAGTGATGTACTATGAAAGACCATGAAAAATATTAGAAAACAATAAGTAGGAAATCAAACAACTGGAAGAAATTCTCTTACATGGAGTACCGGAAACTTGTATTGGTGCATTAGGAGGGGTGATAGCAGGAGGGTTGTGAGCACAAAAATAGTATCTCAGCACATCAACAACAGCTTCGTGCTCAGGTGAGCTCATTTCGACTATATTTACGGTGCCGTTTTTGTATTCAAATTTGTATACACTTGACTCTTGATTTTCAATGAAAGAGTTATAATCATGCACAGAAACGCCTGAGGCAAGCGGATAAGGGAGACTGCAATTCGTACAAGTTAGCACTGAACGAATTGAATAAAACTAGCACGATGTCTACCCACTTGGTTTCGTTTAACGGATTTTTTGGTAAATGAATCCTCTCTAATGCCTTAAGAACCTTATGTAAATTAGGTTTACCCATTTTTATCATTTTTGTTCTTCAACGAGATAATTGAAGGAAGAAAATGTAATTTACTAGTTTCCTGATTTTTTTGTGCAAGAGACTTTATTACTTTTTAGGTAAAAAATATTTATCCACGTGCTCACTAGTCCGAAAAAAAGGTTGAATCAGGTATTTGACGAAATTAGGGTAGCCTTTTCGGATATCACTAACTAAAACTCAAAGATCCAGATAATTTACAACCTGTTCACGAAATAGGAGGTGGAAAAAACCTAAAAGAATAAAATCCTACAGGACAGGTGCAATTGCTATCTTTTAGATTCAATAACGCAAAAATAAATACTTGATTTACATGATAAAATCCGGGATCACATAACATTTGCGTAATTATCGGAAAAATGATACAGACGCATACTTATTAGTGATTTAGATATTAAGTTTTATGAAAAAGTTTAGAAGCTTGATTAACGAAACTTTTAATTTTTTGTATTCTTTCGGGGATAACCATTTCTGGTTTTTCATCATACCATATCTCAAGTAAGAAAATTCCGTTATCTTGACATATGCATCTTTTTAGCCGATCACGATTTACAACATCCTCAGAGCTTTTTGATATCTTTATACCAGCTAGTGCTATGGAGCCGATGCTGACTTCCTTGCACCTCCAATCCGATTCGATGATGGCGGAAGAAAGCATCAAGTTCTAATCCATTCAGGAAAGGAGGCCGATACTCAATTATCGGTCCCTCATCAAGAATTTCCATAGCTATCTGAATACATTTATTCTGGAATTTACGATTTTTCTTAGATATCAGCTTCAGTTCCAATTTCGTAATTCTATCTTTAAGCTCAATATTCTCAGTTTTAAGATTCACGGTATCCATTTTATATCGCTCCAATTCCACAATTCTAGCCATAAGCTCATCTTTCTCTTTCACAGTTTGTTCTAATTCCGCAATTTTATCCAAAAGCCTGGCATTCTCTTGTTTCAATAGATCTAGTTCGGATTTGGTATTTTCCATTATTTTGTATAAGATACAAATATATTTAAATAAAATTCACGAAAAAATTATTGATTACACATCTACATTACACGAAAAAATAACACACGATATGCTGTATGTTCCTCTAACCAAAAATCTTTATTAATAAAATATGTAATAATAATACAGGATAAAATACATGATATATATACACGGAATAAATAAAATCTATGGATAATCATCTCGTGAAGTGGAAACAGTGGTACTCTCTTCCATTTGTCTTTGCGATGAGGAAACAGGTGCGTGATAAAGTAAAGATAAATTAGTAATTACTATATTACGTAAAAGTAACAAGGTTTCTATAAATTTAGTTACAATGGCTTCATCCGAAAATTGTACAGGAATCTCAGCAGACTGTAAATGGTAATATCGGTGTACATTAACCATATCTCATGTGAGAAGATTCAAGTGCAATACATTACCTGCTACTTGCATACCTACAATACCAAACTGATCTTTATCTGGTTTAAGACTTTGGCATATCCAATATAGTCCATCATTAGTTTCTCGCCATAACTTAATCTCGTCGTCGGTCTTTTTTTGTGAACTAGGAATTAATCGAGAACATTCTACATACATAAGTTCAAAAACTGTCTCCAGATATTTCACTACAAACATAATATCTGGACGTCTTCCCATATAACCTTCACCCTTTCTATTAGCACTTGCAATACTTTGCTTCTCTGACGTACTAATAAAGAACGAGTTTCCAATGGGAAGATTTTTCAAAGAAGCTCGAATGGCAGATACTATAACAGTCGATTGGTATGTCCCCTCATTTAATGTCTTTGCGAATTCGGGACCAAATGCTGAATTATTCCAAATATCTTTCAAGACATTAAGAATTTCTTTGACCACATGTTTGATATCCTCTTTGGATTCTTTCCAGGTCCCATCGTATATTAATTTGATTGGTTTTGTCTTGATTTCATACTTATTAAAATCCAGTACAAAATCTCTACACATTTCTTGAACTATTGGCATAAGTGTAGGTATCATTTTACGAACAGGTTTCTAATGTAAATTATATATCATTAATAATGCTAATAAAGCATAGTCGAAAAATATATATGATTCTTTACCATAAACCCTTTTTTTTAAATTTCTTGATAATTTTCTCACAGATTTGGATTCATCACTAATCACTTGATTGGCCAAAGGGTCTTTTCAAGATAGTTCCGTAATTGATATTTCATTCACACCAGATAATAAATGTTGATATAAAGAACCAGTATCTCTTTTGAGTTTTCCTTTAAGCTCAATCATATTGTTTTTGATTTGGTCCAAGCTAAGAGGCTTTTCTTTATTTGTTTTTACAACTCCAAGATCATATAATGTGGATACTCCCTCGAAAGTATTTTCAAACTAGAAAATAAATATACATTAGTTTTCAGTAATAAAAATATCATTAAAAAAAATGTATATTTTATCAGTACATATGCAAAGTTATTATTTTTGTGCGGCCGTCACGCCAATGAAACTCTGTGTGGTACTAAACTTCTACACAACAATATAACCTTCTTATCCTCCGTACAGGCGATAAATTTTTCTCATCAATAGGTTAGTAGGATAAACTACATTACTGCATAACAGTCTATAGCTTAGATATTCCTCTATTGTTGAGCAAGTGTTTATCGTGAGCAGGTAAACAGGATAATTAAATTACTTTTCGATACTGAAATCTAATAGCGGACCACATAATATCATCATATAATGAAAAATAATTTTGTAAAAAAAAAATCAATAGCTAACCTGTGAATGAATTCTAAAAAGTTTTCGTTGACGCGAAGAGCCATCTGGGTACAAATTACTAATATAACTAACAACTCGGTCTACAATCGTTCTCAACTCATTTTTCAGAATTCAGGAATTTTCTTCCAAGCCTTGATATATAACTGCAGTGGCATTTATATGGCGTTCTTCAGCATTGATTAAAAAATTATGAATTTTGTTTTGTAAATCAGTAGACATATTGATAGTAAAAAATATAATATTTCAATAAATCAAAATTGCAAATAAAGCTTTCAACAACAGTGATATACTCTCCTTTTAACGTGTCTCATTATTCCCTTTTTTAGTATCTCGATTCATGGATTAAGAAAAAAGTCAGTATATGCACGAGAACAAAGAATATGTATATATCTTGAGTCAATTATTTAAACCAGGTTATTGATATCCCTATTTGTAAAAAGTATAACATAGTACTTTAGTTTTGCGATAAATATAAATAGTGAAGTAGTAAAGCTAATAAAAGTATAAAAAATGATGTTAAATATCTGTTTTTGAGATGTTTTTACACAGATATGCAGATGTAAGGGGTACTAATTAAATTTGATAATCAGTGTATCGCATGACCAAATGATGCATGTAAATTCTATTACATTCGAATTCATTCTATGACACATATCACATGATTTTAGATATCATAGATATCAACTCCGCTATATAAATACTAATACTCGAACTCGAGATTACCCGTCTCCAAAATAATATATTCAGAATGATTCGTTATCATCATCTATTCTTTGCAAAATACAATATTCTTGAAGAAATAGTTTCAAAATTTAATCGCACTAAAATTAAATCACATATTCATAATGTATATAAGTTATTAAATCAAATAGGTCTGAATCCCTAAATACGATATAAATTACATATAACTTCCATAAACACTTAATCATTAAATATGGTTTATACAGATAGTTGTCCAGTTTTAAATGATATTAAGTAGAAAGATAATTGTCAATTTCCAGTGATCCGTAAAGGTGAAACTCCATCTGATTAGATGAAACGAATCTAGGATCAGTTAATGAATTATAGAAAAAATAATTGTTTATTTAAATCTCATAAGTGATATATGGTTACTAGGAAGATACTATATTTATGGGAAGATGATCTTGGCAGTGCTTTTGAAGTGAATATTGCAATATGTCATAGTTGTGATCAGCTTGTTTATGTTAATCGGAAATGTATTTATGGAGAATATCATAGATCTACAATTGAAAAGCATTGGCGTACAAATTGCACAGGAAACGCATATTGTGATATTAGTTATAAAGACTATATAGAACTTAAAAGCAGATCTGAAGCTAGTAACTCCTACTTTAAAAAAGAAGCGATTCGTCGTTATGAATTGTGAATGCAGAATGCTATTAGAAGAGTTAAACGTGTAAGAGAAATTGGTAGAAAAATTTGAGCTGTAAATATTATAGCAATGAAATGGCTTGAATTTATGTATCGCCCTACTGGTATGACAGTTACACAGTTAGCCCAATATTACAAACTATTATGGGTGGTTTGAGAAGAAATGCGTCAAATTAATAATGTATAACTTATAAATCTAACAATGTATAATATACATATCTATTTATCCGATTAATATATCTATTTATTATATAACTTATTTATATATATATATATCTATTTTAAAATAAAATCATCTTACTTTAAACTTTTATTTATTACTATTTCGTGATGATTAATAGTTATTTTTTTTCTCGATATATATTTCATAATTTTTATAAAAGATCCATTAATAAGTATAGTCATAATCTCTCGATGCTTATAGTGTATCACAACATCTTCTACAAACCATCCAAGGATATTTGAGATTTAAAGATACCGATTGATTATAGTTCTTTTTCCCATGAGCAGTGATCTGATAATTTAAGTATTTTTTCATAAAATCTTCTATACTTACATTCTCGTTCTTTACCACATAGGCTTTATGAATACTATCTACTATAACTTTTATCGCATTCTTATTATACGTATTCGAAGGCTCCAATTCAAGAGTGATAGTATTTGATTTCTTAAATTTATGACCATCACGAAATCTCATCCCTACTACCATAAAGGAATGAGTAATAATACAATCTGTATACAATGGTGACGATATTTCCTTATAACTACAACAAATATTGCCAGAGGCAATTACTTCATGACTAGACATGATTAAAAACTATTATATTTTCTATA